TTCCAGCATTGAGAATTGAAGAACACTGTTACCTTACTGATAACCGTGTTAAGTAATTTAAGTATGGTCATTTTATTTCTTTGATTTGAGACATCCCCCTGATCAAATGAATTTTCTCCGTAGAGTAACCTGAAAAGTGGGGTGATATCAACAATTTCATGTGCTCAATTTTTTTACCCACAAACTCTGGGTTACCAACTGGACAGCTATAATCTGCTTTGAATAGGCTAAGGCAGCAACACCATTGAAAGTTAGTGAACGTATTTTAACGTGTTGTCTGTCAGTGCCCCGCATCAGAACGTTCTCACGTTGTTCAGTGCAGTTTCTCTTAATTCCTGTCCCAAAGTTTTGAAAGTATGTATACATTTGTCGAAATAGGTTGGATAACTCTTGTAGCTATAATATTTGGATAGCAATTTTAATTTTCTCCTTTTGAACAGCGTATATTATTTGCCTTTCCTGAATCATAAAAATAAACTTGACCGTAACTACTCGATCGTTCAATACATAACCACTAATTCCTTCACTTATGTATGGTCTAATATTTCCACTAAAACTTTCAATAGCAAATGAGTTTTTGAAACTTCTTATTTTTTACTTGAAATGTCTGGATTGTGTTGGTGAATTCACTCAAAAAACTTTGTATAAGTTTGTCCAAGGAACTGGCAACATAACATAGTAGTAAACAATCCATTTACGTTTTTCCCAATTGAAGAAGAGAGTGTAATACAAAAGTTTACGATAAAAACATAAGGTAGCCAAGATTTGGTATAATCTTACTACTTCACTTATACTTATTATAGTCAAGGAATTATTATAGTTTCTACTAAATGTTTTGAAATATCTCAATCTGTCAGTGTCTGAAGTAAACATTTCTTGCATGCATTCATTTGATCTTACATTAGGCAAGTTTACTTTCCCACCGTGACAACACTATGAGCTTCGTATATTTTTCCACTTCCAAAGTAAGTTGCATAGCAGAACTGGCAAATATTATTCATCTTACCAAGTGAATATGTATCTGGATGGGTATCTGTTGGACCAGGTCTCTCTTTTTCTACTCTCCTCATACGCACAAAATATCTTATTATTAATTGTGTCCTCCTCCCGTGTTCAATATTTCTTCTTTGAACTTGAGGCATTTTCAGTTTTTCCAACAAAACTGATTAACTGTGTAACTTGGTCTTAACCTACTGAATATACAAACATCAATATTTACTCCCAAAAAGCTAATGAGTTGATTTTTATAAACAGCTGTTTTTAGCGAATCTATATATATAAAAGGCAAAGCCCTCACTGACTCACTCACTCACTCACTCATCACTAATTCTCCCACTTCCCATTTACCTAGGAGGCTGAAATTTGGTACACTGATTCTTTAGGCATTAAATAGGAAAACTAAGTGGTTTTTATTCTGATCGGGCTCTCGGGCCCCGCCCCAGTGGCTCTGGAGTTTCCCATGTTAACCTTATGAGTACTCATATTTAAATGGAATTAATGTATCTTAACAGCTGTTTCAATTAAACAAGTTGGTTCTGTTCTATGATGTGCAATAGCATTAAAGTTACAAGGATTACCAACAGGGTTCAGCACTATTATTCTTTTTTAAATTTATGACAACAGCTAATTTGCAACCAAAAGGTGAGTGAGCGTAGCGAACGAACTTCAACTCGGAGGCGAGTTAGCGTAGCGAACGAGCTCCAACCTAAAGGTGAGTGAGCGTAGTGAACAAACTTCAACCAGGACGTGATTGAGCCATGCGAACGAGCTCACTTATGAAGTAAAACGGGGCAAAGCCCGCGGGTACAGCTAGTTTCCCATATAGGGAATAAGCTATTACCGTAGTACTCATGGTAAGACCTGGACCCGGGACCGATTTTTTTTTCGTTTTGAGGTCCCTAGAGGCCAAAAACACCATCCGTTCAAATTCATATATATATATATATATATTTATATATATATATGTGTCCGTTAGCGCGATAACTCGAGCAAAAATGATCCGATTTTGATTAAATTTGGTACAAACGTGTAAACCTACGTTTATTCGAACGAGTTCGCGAACCAGCATGATCGGACCATGGGAACGGGGGTTTATGGGGGGTTTTATGGGGTAAAAATGGGTTTTTCCCATTTTTGACCCAAAAAACATATAATTTTGCAATTTCTTTCTAAACTATTTTGTAGAGCTTAGAAAAACAAATAATTTAGTATATTGAAGCGTTATAATGCGCCTAATGGTTACGGAGAAAATTCCAAAAAATTGCAAATTTAAAATTCCCATGTTATTCTTATGGAGAACAAGTAAACTGTTGTAGTTTGCTTGTTTATTAACATATTTTTCCCAAATTTGGAACATGTTTTTATTTCTTACTAACAATTAACATTTTACATAAAAAACACTTTTACCCTCCCTGTTGCAGCAAACCTAAGTATGTGTTAAACTGATTCTATTTAAATAGGGATAAATGTGATATTTTTAAGGAGACATTTTAGTGTAAATCCAATCAGGCAAATGGAAATTCGCTTAGTCTGCAGGTTTGCTGCGGCGGGGGTATTTTGTTTTTAAATTTGTTCTATGTATTCCTTATGGGGAAAACCTGACCTTTGAGAGGGTCTCATGCCCTTAAGAGCAGGAATTTTAAAACTCTAAAACCTTATTCCAAAACTACATATTGAGACGAATCTTTTGACACCTCAAACGTTGAAATTGGTTCACAAATAAGGGAGGAGTTGCGTTAACAAAAAACGGCTTCACGTATTATATATATAGATTTTTAACTTTTTCCCAATACAGGGTGTGCCAAAAACTAAGGGTCACTAGTTCGAATCTCGGAATTTTCAAATGTAAACATATGCCATTTTATACATAATTTTAAAAGCATTTGATATACAAAAATTTTGGCGAAAACAGAAATTAGTTATCTTTTTCCATTTCAAAATGACGGCAGTTTTTTTTGGAAAAAATCTATATTTTTTTAATCCTCTGTGTATCCTATACCAATGCATTTATCCCTTCTCCGGTTGAATTTTCTTACTTGTTATGAAATTAGCTTTACTTTGATATGCTACAAGTAACGGTTTTTTGAAATAATAAAAATAAAAAAAAAAATTATTTTTGAAAATTTGCAGATGCCCATTTTTCAAAAATTTCTATGAAGGGTTTATCATGAGTTAATAATAACTTCAATTACTAAAAATATGTTAATCGTAAGATAAATTTGAGAATTTAGACGCTAGTATAATTATTCAAAAATAGCCTGCCAATAACTTTATTCTACAGCTATAATATGTTGTTATTTCTATAATTACGATTCCTTATCATAAGATAACATCAACAATCATTCTTCGAACAACTTTAATCTTTTCAGTTTAACGTTTATTCCAACCAATCGCTAAAAATTTATTTGCCATTTTCATTTGGTTTACCACATTCGGATGACTCGCTACAGGGCTAGCTAGCAAACAGCATACAGCTTGCTTGACAGCTAACTGCTAAGAGCGCTACCCACGGTGAAGGTTTGAATTAAGTAATGACGTCATCGTTCCTCCCCGCTCCCCACCACGACTGTTGCTCCGGTGAACCGACTCGTTGCTCTGAGTATCTAGACGCTAGTGCAGTTTAACTAACTAAAAAATAAATGTTCAACAATTAAATTAAAAAAAAAAAATTGTGACTGTGATAAAGAATAGAAAAGCCAGAATGAACTGAAAGAAAAAGCATGCTAGTAAATTATTTTAACAAAAAAGAAAGTGTTACTATGAAAATTACAATTAAATTCAAGAAAATTACCAGGTATATAACATTTTTGTATTATCCAAGATTCAAGAAGAACCAACAGTATATAGTGAGAGTGATATTTATTTTCTGTAAACAAAACAAATACAGTCCACTCGTTTAAAAATTAAACACTATTTTTAATCATCTATTTTAACCATTAAGCTAACTTATTCAATAAACAATTATCAAATTTTCATGACGAATTAAAAGACGTTACAGTTGACCAACTTCCAAAGGTGTTGCCGCTATATTCAACGCAAATGATAGTTGACCAGTTGGTAACCCAGAGTTTGTTATTATGGAAAATCTATTCTAGTTTTCTTGCGAAGTAAAGGAGAACGTTGAGGGTTAATGGAAGTTGCATTCATTGATGCGTGATCTCTTCTTCATCTTGATGAATCTTTACCAATCTTTAACTTTTTCATGAATGGCATCTTTACCAACGCGGTCGACTTGTAATGTATTACATTTTTCAAAGACGCTAAACGTATCTGATGATAATCTGCGGAGCCCATCTGTACGTGAAGAATGGTCCATTTAAGGTTATTGTCGAAGTAAAGTAGATGATCTATATCAGTGACAAAGCTAACATATAGTTATTCTATGCGCAATCTTCACTCATCTACCTCTGGAACATTAAAGTTTGACCTAAATGACACAATTTAACGGTGGGAGAGAATTATTTTATTCGGGCTGCTTTACTGTTGTTGGAAAAAACTCAAGAGATTGATTCGTTCGCTGTAATGTCAGGCTTTTAAATAAATTGGTGGCTTTTAATTGCTCATGGTGGGGTATTAATTGCTTAGGTACCAACACAACACGATGTAGCCAATCCATTCAATAAAGTCCTTTGTCAGTATTTACGTTAGTGGCATTCCATTTTAGCAGAAAAGTAAACGCTTCTAATAGAAAGCTTCGTATGCCAGCTAAATTAAATCAAGTTAAATTCAATTTCTGTTACACAAATTTCACTTCCACACACAGATTTCACCTTCAACGTTTACTTTATTGCATTCTACTCTTATTTTGGGGGTTTTCATTAGAAATTAACTGATCTGGAACCATAACGTCAATGATTCGTGATAGGGAAGAGTGGACAGTGTCCTATCTCTTCATGAGCTTATTATTAGTATTTTCACGACTTTAACGTTGAAAATAGCTGGTAAACTGTAAAATAGATCCAAAAACCCGCAAGCCCCTTGTAATGGTTTGCGTGTTCCAGGACATACCAATGCATGTCTCGATGCTCACCTATCTTCTGATCGCCTTCGACAGGTTTCGCTACCTGCAGGACCCCACCAAGGCCAGGATACCCGCCTTCGTCATGGCTACAGGCTCCTGGCTGATGGCCCTGTGTATCGTGCTGCCTTATCCTATATACACCACCTACGTCGACCTCGGGGTCAGTACGATTCTCTTATCAAACATATTGTTAAATTTTCCTAAGTAACAGAGTTGGGACTTAGTCTGCACAAAAAATAATGTAAATACATTAGAGTCATGGTGGACACCAAAACGAACCAGGCTATGGATACGCTATATTAACTATTTATAACACTTAATTTAATAAATCGTATTTTATGACATTAAACACTAGACTACGAAGTTGGTTCATTTATCATACAATTAACTACATACAGACGTAGGCTAAATGGGTTCAAAAAATTGCAGACATTTGGGAAGGAGTATCTGGAGGGTGTGGGTATCTGCGCGGTCAACCTGGCCGACGATATGCAAGAGTATGTACGGGGGCTCTTCTTTGCCATGTAAGTATTATGATAAATAATGTTTATTAGTTTTTTGTGAAATGAAACAATGACAAATACACAGCTTACAACGATTTGAAAGGTCAATTTATCAAACGGTTTTAAATAATGTGGCAGGATCCTAATTTTGTTTCAATTAGATGTGAATTAGAGACTTTAAACTAAATAACTATTCACTGTATATCAACCATACGCAATTTTGTTTTAAATTAAATAGTTATGCTCTAGCTGTAGGGTTAATAAATACACACTTTTATATGTAACATCATTTTAATTGTAGCAATGATGACAACTTACGTAAAAGTGTAATAAAAACATTATTTATTGTATAGGTACGTGCTACCACTGACGACTATCGCATACCTCTACGTGCGGATGTCACGTGAAATTGAAGTAAAAGAGGGTCCACTGGCAGTGATTATGTACGAGGCTCGGTCCCGGACCAACTCCAACGGCAGCCCAAGGAGTGTCAGGTACAGGTATAGCTCAGTAATAATCATCTATATTGCTAGTCTCACACCAATTTGACTTAGCCCTGCAGGTAAGTCTCAACTAAATGATTATTGATTTACTAAATAATAATGTACATAGTCATATTATCGTCTCACTTTAATAATAGCAGTTTGTCATGGATGGATGTAATTTATATTAATTTGAACAACTAGGTTTATAACAATTTAATATTAGTAGTCAATAGTATCCCATTGTCAACATAAACATACTTTTTGACATAATTTAGTTTTATTTTAATTTAATGTTAAGCAGAAGGATCACTTCGATAAATTTGTCGTTATCATTATTGACAGAAAAGGAATATAATGTAAAATAACCGGGAGATTGCTAGATTTTAACGAATTCATTGGAAAATAAATATATCGTATATTTAAAACAAATGTTGTGTAACTTTCAGCCAGGGACAAGCTCACTTTAGGTACAGGTCCCCGACTGCTAACTTTGACCTATACGAAAACGAGTTGGATATTAAAAAGGAGAAGAAAGTCCAACAATATCTTATCACGATGGTGACGGTGTTTGGCATCTGCCTTTGCCCTCTCATGGTTCTTAGGTAAGCTCATTATTATGCTCATTGTTAAGCTGCATGGAAATTATCACATTGCCAAGCTCTTAATACACAAATAGATATTACTAAACAACGATTGATATGTTTATGAAAAATAATTATAGTTCTATATAAATAAGGAAGACTATGAGTATGTTTTCATTGGATTGTAGCTAGATGGAGGGGGGTGACTTCAACTTAACTTTAACTAATTTATGATATATTTAAGTAGATATGGTTACGATACTTTATAGGCTACGTCAAGATGTCAAAGCTGGCAGAAAAAGGACCATATAAAAGGAAAGGAGGCAAAAATGTTCATAGAAGTCTCCTTTCAGGCAGCAACCTTTCCTCAAAGATAAATGCAGTCTATAAATAATTGGGACAAGCTCCCCAGGTTATGCGTTAAACCAACTACACTGACCATCCTTCTATGGTGTTGTTGTACACACATATGCATCACTACTTCTCGTGGCATTAACCTTAAGAGAGGTGGTTATATAAAACCACATCAAAATTTTCTTAAAAGTTGTGGAATATTTTTTTTATAAGAGGAGTAAAGGTTTTGATTTGAAACTGCGAAACATATTATAGTTCCCCATCAGTATTACCAAAGATTATGCTACGCAAATAATCCATTATATAATTATAATATATACAATTATAATAATTATATACAACGATCCGAATCTAAAATCTATATTTTATATCTTATGTTCTACATTTTCTTCAAAGCTCAGTTGCAAACGGCACTTAAAAAAAAAACACCAATAATGTGACGAGATAATACGTAGTTTGAAATCAAATGCCGATCTGTGTAGATAAATGTTCTTCCTACAAACTATGTTTAAAAAGGTCAAGTGAATGGTTAGGTAATAGTTGACTAACCATACATTCCTCATCGTGAGTTAGTAGCAAGATATTGCGTGAGTCTAGAAATCCGGAAGCAAACTTTGTGTACGAAAATTCCAAAAACAGAAAAGTGAGAAAAGTCGACGAACTTACAAACAGTCACTAATTGAGCGGAGCGAGCGAAGCTCTTATACGTCGACTCTTATGCATTTCGTAATACGCAAACTCCTCCTAGACGGCTGAATCAATCGTTTTCAAATTTTGCATGGTGATAAAGACCATATTGGTGAGTGCCAACATCTATATGGCGTTAAAAAGTCTCTCAGGAATCCGCCCCACTGGGTCTCAAAGTTTCAATGTAATCCTTATGGAAGCAGTATTTGACACATAGACAAAGACCTATGATCAGCTGTTGACTTTTGAATGCAGTAGATAAAGAAATAGCTGATAGCATTATTCCACAGATATTAGAACAGAAAAGGTATGGATCAATATAATCAAATGCCGACACTAGCTTGAGGTCCGTGACGTATGAAGTGGGGAAGTAGTAAAAATGAGCAGTCTGGAGCATGGAAACTGTTTATGATGATTAGATTAAGGTATCTGCATTCCTAAAATTAAATGGGAAGGGAGGAAAACAGGTCCGCGACGTAGGAAGTGGTGAAGGAAGTAGTCAAGGCGAGCTGTCTGGAGTGTGGAAATTGTTTATGACGATTACATTAAGGTACTGTATCTGCATTCCTAAAATTCTATGGGATGGGAGGAAAACAGGTCCGCGACAGGAAGTGGTGAAGGAAGTAGTAAAAGGCGAGCAGTCTGGAGTGAGGAAACTGTTTATGACGATTAGATTAAGGTATCTGCAATCCTAAAATGCTATGGGAAGGGAGGGAAACAGGTCCGCGACGTAGGAAGTGGTGAAGGAAGTAGTAAAGGCGAGCAGTCCGGACTGTGGGAACTGTTTGTGACCATTAGATTAAGGTATCTGCAATCCTAAAATGCCATGGGAAGGGAGGAAACAGGTCCGTGACGTAGGAAGTGGTGAAGGAAGTAGTCAAGGCGAGCTGTCCGGAGTGTGGGAACTGTTTGTGGCGATTAGATTAAGGTATCTGCAATCCTAAAATGCTATGGGAAGGGAGGAAAACAGGTCCGCGACGTAGGAAGTGGTGAAGGAAGTAGTCAAGGCGAGCTGTCCGGAGTGTGGGAACTGTTTATGACGATTAGATTAAGGTATCTGCAACCCTAAACTGCTACGGAAAGGGAGGGAAACAGGTCCGCGATGTACGAAGTAGTAAAGGCGAGTTGTTCGGAGTGTGGGTTCTGTTTATGACGATTATATTTAGGTATCTACAATCTTGAAATGCTATGGGAAGAGAGGGAAACAGGTCTGCGACGTAGAAAGAGGTGAAAGAAGTAGTAAGGTGAGCAGTGTGGAGTGTGGGAACTGGAAACCGTTTGTAGCAGTTTTAATGTATCTGCAATGTTGAAATGCTATGAGAAGGGAAGGAAGCATGCCTACTACATAGGAAATGGTGAAAGAAGTAGTAAAGGCTAGCAGTACGGAGTGTGGGAATGTTTGTTGCAATTAGAATAACGTATCTAAAATACTAAAATGCTATGGAAAATGATGAATACAGGTCAACGACGTAGGAAGTGGCTTAGGAAGTAATAAAGTATGAGCATCAGCATAGTGTGAGATCCGTCTGTGGCAGTTAGATTAATGTATCTTCAATACTAAAATGCTATGAGAAGGGAAGGAAACAGGCCCCACGACGTGGGAAGTGGTGAAGGAAGTAGTAAAGGCTGGCAGTGCAGTGTGGGGGAACCGTTTGGGCAGTTAGATAAATGAATCTCTAATACTTAAATGCTATGAGAAAGGAAGGAAACAGGTCTATGACGTAGTAAATAGTGAAGAAGTAGTAAGGCTAGCAGTGCAGAGTGTGGGAACTGTCTTTGGCAATTACATTTATGTATTTGCAATTCTAAAATGCTATGGGAAGAGAGGGAAACAAGTCCACGACGTAGGGAGTGGTGAAGAAGTAGTAAAGGTGAGCAGTGTTGAGTTTGGGAATGGGGATTAATGTAACTGCAATGCTAAAAGCTACGGGAAGAGACTGTAGACTGTATGTTAAAATGATTACGAAGCACGAATCGATACATATTTTCGATACATGCAATCGTTGAATCGTTTGCAATCGAAATCTACAAGTGAGTTGACAACAGCTGGTTTTTACTCCATAGAGGCTAAAAACTATTTTTACTCCCTAAATATTAAAAATGCTACTTTAGACCCGCAACGCATGCATTAAAATCTACTGTTTTTGCTTCAGTATGACAAAAACAATATAATATGAACCCTTGATTACTCCGCTCAATTTTGTGGATGCCTCCGCGAACGCCACCTAGTTATTAAAACTTGTAAGAATTATACATTTATAAATTGTTAAGGGTTCTCTAAATGTACGTTAAAATTCAATGCAGAGAAACTAGTATAACATTGTAAGGTTATTAGTTATTATATCACTGTGACTGCAATTTTTGAAGATTTTTATTAATTTGTGTTTATATTAGTAACCCTTTAGTATCGTTTAGCTCTTTGTTACGTGGTCACTTTAATTTTGAAGTTGATAACTGCCATTTTTGTAAAAAGATAAAGTTATGGTACATTAATGACAGCTGTGTGCTTTCAAACTAGAGATACGATGACCGACGGGTCGGCGAGCGCGTTGCGTACAGGCAAGTTAATTCCGAGCACGCGAACATTACCGAACTCACCCGAACTTAAATGGTAATGCAGATCGAGACTTGACACAGCGCCTCTGTGAAGGTGGCCCCGTCTAAAAACGACTTGGCACAAAATTGCCGTAAGGTGCAATATCTAGGTATTACCTAGAAAAGTTGCTAAAGAAATACTCAGCTGTGCAACGTCTTAATCACGAAAGCAAGGTTGGAGATAAAAATAAAAACACCGATAACTTTTACATTATTAATGTCATGGACAAATTTGGTCACACCTTAGCACGACACTGTATTTGTCATACCTTAGCTAGAGCATGGCAAAACATGCTTCATGAAAAAAAACGAAAAGAAAAAAAACAAAGATGGAGGTCTCTAGACGAACACTGTTATTAGTTTGGAAAACCTACGTCATGGATAACCTTCCTCTTAACTTAACACACCACTCTAGAGTTTAAACTACAGAGTATGGTGAAGTTATGGTAAATGTTAGAAAAGAAAGTGAGCCTGAGGACCACCAGTGTTACCACCTGGATACCAGTGTTATCGTATGCAGTTGTTTTTCGTGTATTGTTCATCACCATATTTAACTCTCTGATCCTCCTTTTGTTGCAGATTAGCAAAGATGGCCGTGGCGGAGACGTACGAGAACACCGGCCACTTTGACCTGACGTACGTGACGTTCGTGTGGGTGGCCTTCCTCCCAACCTGCACAACTCCGCTCCTGTTCATCTATTGGCGAATGACTAAGTAAGTGTTGTTACTGTTGTTCTAGATAGCATTAGGAAATTTATGCCACTAGTAAACGCCAAATTTCGATATTCGTTCCATCCTACATTCTTAGAATTTGGAAATACAACTTGAATAAATAGAGCTAGAAATTTCATTCCCAAGTTTAAGTTCCATCCAGGTTGAGAACACAAATGAACCTAGTCGAATTGCACCTCCGACAAAGTATGTTCCTGTAAAGACTAATAAACTCACGTTTACATTAATTGTGCAACAAAACCTAACTGAAAGAACAATTTTTTTTTTACTGCAGTATCTTTTAAATCACGTAAATAACCTCAAGTTAGGAAGATAATTTTGGCTGTAGCACATTTTGCGACTGGTTCATTCAAATTATTACTATTTGAAAAGTAAATATCACACATCTGCTCCCTTATGGATGAAAAGGTTATAAGGTTATTATTATAATCGCGCTACTATTACGATTAAATATGATATCGCACTCGACTATTAGAAAACTACTTATTAGGGCTAGTGACCAGAACAGGTAGTGTCGTCTTTACTAACCTGGGTCTATACTCGAACTGCCGTCCGTCTCCTCGTCTAGAGTGGGGTTGGCTTCTTATCACTAGAGGGCAAAGTTCGTCTATTGTCTGTCTTACACTAATATAACTAAATCCTTCTTCTACTTTACTACACTCCTCCCAACCAAATAAAAATTCTTCTTACACAAAATATTTACAAAAAACATGGAGGAGTCCTCTTGTCACATTTAGAGGTCTAGTTTCCGAGGCGCTCTAATGACAAGGTTAGAGCGACGGATGATTGGGCTTCCTTGAAGATTTTCTCTGACTTCAGGTGATTGTCGGGTCTTGGGAGGTGAGCTTGATTTTGCAGGTGAATTTTGCTGGCCGATGTTGGAAGGGTTATCCTTGGGCGATTTGTAAAGTTCTCTTGGGAATTGTAACAGCACATCATCCTCCTCTTCTTCCACTGAGAGATCAGCACGCAAATGGTCAACATGGACAAATCTTGTAAATCCATCTACCTTGACAATGTATGTAACTGGGCTCCTTATTTTGATTACAATACCCGGTTGCCACTTTACCTTTTCATTACGTACGGTTTTGACGTAAACTCTGTCATTGACAGAAAATGCTCGACAATTTCCTCTGTGGATGTTGGCACTTCTCACCATCCCTTCCTGTTTTGATAACATTTGTTCAGCCAGATGAGGTTTCAATAAATTTAGATGAGTTCTGGGTTTAAATTTGAAGATGATTTCTGAAGGTGCCAGGTTTGTTATTGAGTGTGGAGTGTTTCTATAAGTGAATAGAAATGAATCAATCCGATGTTGAAGTGAAAGAGCTTGATTATGTTTGGTGTCGTGCAACATCTGCCGTAGGAAGGTGTTTTTTACAGTCTGCACTGCCCTCTCAGCAAGACCATTTGAAGCTGGGTGGTATGGGGGAGATAAGACATGATGAACTCCGTTTGAGTGTAAGAACTCTTTAAACTCCTGTGAGGTGAATTGTGGTCCCCCGTCTGTAACTACAGTAGCCGGTAGGCCAAATGTTGCAAAACAGCTCCTTAGTTTCTCAATCGTCTGTCGTGACGTTGTTGTTGGCATATGGAAAACCTCTAGCCACTTAGAAAAACCATCCACCACTATCAAAAACTCTTTACCCTCAAAAGAGGCAAAATCTAAGTGAAGTCTCTGCCAACTGTGTTTTGGCCAAGCCCAAGGTTGTAACGGGGCAAGTTGGGCGCAATTACGTGTCTTCTGACAGACGCCACAGTCTTTGACCACACTTTCAATGTCGGCGTCCATTCCGGGCCAAAATACAAAACTTCTAGCTAGCACCTTCATGCGCGACTCGCCTGGATGTTCAGAGTGAAGCAAAATCAAAATTTCCTTCCGATGAGGTGGTGGTATGACAACCCTACATCCCCACAACAAACATCCTTGCTCAACGGACAGTTGTGAACTTTTAGAGAAATACGGTTTCAAGTTCTCATCTGAAACATAATGAGGCCAACCATTTGATGTGAAATCCAGAACCTTTGAAAGTATCGGATCAAATTTAGTAGCTGTTGCTATCTCCTTGGAGGTGATTGGAAGTTCGGATGTGGATGAGAAGAATGATATTTCGCCCTCTACTTCGGGAAGTTCACAAGGAAGCCTAGACAACGCATCTGCGTTGGATATATCCGTGCCCTTACGGTATCTAATTTCGTAGTCATACGCTGCAAGAGTCAGCGCCCACCTTTGAATCCTGGCGTCAGCAAGCGTTGGGATTCCTTTTGCCGAACCAAACAAAAATATGAGTGGTCTATGGTCGGTCACTAGAACAAATCTCCTTCCATACAGAAAATTGTGAAACTTTTTTACACCGTACACAATTGCTAATGCCTCTTTCTCTATTTGGCTGTACTTCACCTCGCTTTTTGACAAACTCCTTGATGAGAAGGCGATTGGTCTTTCGGTGCCATCAGGTAGGGAATGGGCTAGAACACACCCAACCCCGTAGCTGAAACTGTCTGTAGTCACTACAATATCTAACTCTGGGTTAAAAGGCATTAGGACGTCATCTTTCAACAGGAGAGTTTTACATTTTAAAAAGGCCTCTTCACATGGTTTGTCCCAGACCCATTTAGCATTGGTTTCTAAAAGCTTGTACAAGGGGTGGAGCAAAGTTGAAAGGTTTGGAAGACATTTTCCATAGAAATTCACTAACCCTAGGAACGACCTCAATTGAGTGACATTTTCTGGACGTGGAGCATTAGTAATAGCTTTAGTAAGCTCCTCTGTTTGGTGAATACCCTGATCGTCTATGCGATAGCCTAGGAAAATCAGACTCTTCTGAAAAAATTCACTTTTTGATGTGTTAACCTTAACCCCATAAAAATTTAGGCGTTTTAGGACTTCCTCTACTCTTACTTTCATATCCTGAAAAGTTTTGCTATATATCAAAATGTCATCAAGGTAGCACACAGTGCCATTTAAACTACTTAAAATTTTATCCATGGTTGCCTGAAACAACGCCCCTGCGCTAGTAATCCCATAGGGCAGGCGTGCGTACCTAAACAATCCCTTGTGGGTGTTGATAGTCAGTAATTCTTGGGAGTTTTCCCCCACCTTCAGTTGACTGTAAGCTGCAGTCAAGTCCAACTTTGAAAATAATTTGGAACCTGAAATTTTGGCAAAAATGTCATCAGGATTTGGCAACGGATAACGGTCCGTTCTAAGCCAGGGGTTAAGGGTAGATTTAAAATCTCCGCATAACCGTACATTTCCATTTGGTTTGCGAACCACAACAATAGGAGAACACCATTCTGTCTGGGTAACAGGATAAATTATCCCATTTTTCTCTAGATCGTTTAACTCAGCCTCGACAGCGTTACGCAAGGCGTAAGGAACGTTTCGCGCTTTGCAGAAAATCGGAGTGGCGTTTTCTTTGAGCACCAACTCCACAGTCATATCTTTTATCTCTCCAATAGAATTATCAAACACAGATGCATAACTCTTCTTTAAACTATTTACAACATCATAAATTGGAGCAGTCTTACCGTTCAGCAGGTAAGCTTCACCATCACCCAGATCACGGTTGCGTCCGATACTGTTCCAGTCCAGTTGCAGTTTGGATAACCAATTGCGTCCCAGAAGCGTTGGCTGTCGATTTCCCATGCCTTCGACGACCACGACTGGCAGATCCAGGCGTTCGTCTTTCCCAGATTTAACATGTGTCTGGAACTTTCCAAGTACATTAATACTCTCACCTGTGTAGGTTTTAAGTTTTACATCACATTTCTCAAGTTGTGATTCGACTTTATGGAAATTTTTGAAATAAACATTATCGGGCATTACCGGCACTACCGCCCCCGTGTCAACAACCATCTCAATTGGTGTGTTGTTGATGATCAGAGTAGTCACAATACTAAGAACAAGGGCTACCATTAGCGTATGCTATATTATGTAATCTAAGTCATCGTCATAGTTTAGGCCTACTTTCCCAACATGATTTTCATCTTCACTGTCGGATTCACAAACATTGACACGACCCGTGGGTCTGTTATATTTCTTATAAGGAGGTTTAGATCCATTTAGGTCTTTCCTATTTGACCTACACATGTTCGATAGGTGCCCTTTTCTCTGACAAGAAAAACAAGTAAAATCAACATACGGACAAGTATTTACATCATGTAGTTTACCACAACGGTAACATTTCTGTTTGTAATAACCTTTATTTTCCTCCCCAACTTTATTTTCTAACTTGGATTTGAATGGTTTGTGTTTTTGCCATGCACCTTTATTTACACTACCAGAAGGCCTAACATAACCTATTTCACCTGAATGTCTCTCAGGATGCAAAGATTTTACATTACTGTCAGCATTTTCAATCACTAATGCTAGCTCTAGTGCCTTAGGAAACGTTAGGTTGTCCCCCTCGGCCAACAATTTACTCTGTATAGTAGCTGATCTTAGGCCACATAAAAACCTGTCTCTAAGGGCTTCATCTAAAAAATTATCGAATTTACAAGAGGCAGCTTGTTTCTTAAGCTTAATTGCATAGTCTGTGATAGACTCTCCTTCCTTTTGTGCCCTTTTATTGAACAAAAACCGTTCGTAGGCTACGTTGATTCTAGGCTTGTAATGGTCCCCTAGACTATGATTGCATTCTTATAGTCACTTTCGCTAACCTTTGTGGGATGAAGTAGGTCTTTTAGTGTCGTATATAGGCCAGGGCCCATAATAGAAATGAAATAAGCCAACTTATCCTCATCCTTGATGCTGTTGATCTTGAAGAAGTTGTTCAGTCTCTCGGAGTAATTCTCGAACGTCTCCACTTCTTCGTTAAATTCACTAACTTTCCCGATGAGCTGCTTAGCCATATCGAAATATTAATATGAAACCAACTTTTCTAAAGTTACATAGTCTATTACCACCGAAATAAAACATTCAAGTTCGTGAAACCACGTTTTTTCCTTTCACGATGAAACAAGTCGTTTTCCGTTTTCCTCAAAGTTCAACCGGCACGCTCCCCTTCCACTTCCACCATGAACACGAACGTTCGTTCCAAGTTCCAATTCCAAGTTGCAGTTCCCACAATTTAAACTCGTTCCGTTCCAGTTGCAGCCGACCTACACATCACTTCGGAACGGGTATTCGCAATGAGCTATGGTAATAACTTGCAGAACGGTTGTTGGAATGGAGCGGAAAAATAAAATATCAGGAGTAGGAAGAAGCACGACTTTGAATAACAGTTACTTTGGAACGGTTACACCACGGCACACGCCACTAATTTTCATGCACACTTTTATCAAACATGAAAATCCGAAAATAATAAAGTACCTCGATTTTCACTGAAACCGAAAACACGCAAGTTCTTTGCAAACCTCGTCGCCACTATTATAATCGCGCTACTATTACGATTAAATATGATATCGCACTCGACTATTAGAAAACTACTTATTAGGGCTAGTGACCAGAACAGGTAGTGTCGTCTTTACTAACCTTGAACTATACTCGAACTGCCGTCCGTCTCCTCGTCTAGAGTGGGGTTGGCTTCTTATCACTAGAGGGCAAAGTTCGTCTATTGTCTGTCTTACACTAATATAACTAAATCCTTCTTCTACTTTACTACAGTTATAGATTATAAAAGATTATAACAGGTTATACAGGGTGTCAAAATCCGGAACTGGCTATACATAACCATATTCGACGTACAAAAATAAATCGAAAATGTTCAGTAAATTTTTTGAATACAACTTCGTTTAGCCGCCATCCGCCATTTATTTTTAGCGAATTTCCCATATAGGGAATAAGCTATTACCGTAGTACTCATGGTAAGACCTGGACCCGGGACCGATTTTTTTTTCGTTTTGAGGTCCCTAGAGGCCAAAAACACCATCCGTTCAAATTCATATATAAATATATATATATATATATATATATTTATATATATATATATATATATATATATATATATATATATATATTTATATATATATATTTATATATATATATTTATATATATATATTTATATATATATATATTTATATATATATATATGTGTCCGTTAGCGCGATAACTCGAGCAAAAATGATCCGATTTTGATGAAATTTGCTACAAACGTGTAAACCTACGTTTATTCGAACGAGTTCGCGAACCAGCATGATCGGACCATGGGAACAGGGGTTTATGGGGGCTTTTATGGGGTAAAAATGGGTTTTTCCTATTTTTGACACAAAAAACATAAAATTTTGAAATTTCTTTCCAAACTATTTTGTAGAGCTTAAAAAAACAAATAATTTAGTATATTGAAGCGTTATAATGCGCCTAATGGTTACGGAGAAAATTCCAAAAAATTGTTAATTTAAAATTCCCATGTTATTCTTATGGAGAATAAGTAAACCGTTGTAGTGTGCTTGTTTATTAACATATTTTGCCCAAATTTGGAAAATGTTTTTATTTCTTACTAACTATTAACATTTTACATAAAAAACACTTTTACCCTCCCTGTTGCAGCAAACCTAAGTATGTGTTAAACTGATTCTATTTAAATAGGGAATAAAAGTGATATTTTTAAGGAGACATTTTAGTCTAAATCCAATCAGGCAAATGGAAATTCGCTTAGTCTGCAGGTTTGCTGCGGCGGGGGTATTACTTAACAATTTATATTTTCGTTAATGTATCAAGTAAAAAATTGCTATTGGGATTTACAGGATAAATGTCCGAATACAAAAAAAAATATTTTCCCCTTCTTTTATTTTCAAAATGGCGGCCACTTTAAATTTTTAAACTTAAATTACAAAATAATTGCTGAATTTATGAAAAATGCCAGGAACACTTTTATTTAGAAATTTTATTTCCCTATCCAACGATATCAAGTTCAAATAGATCGAGTAAGAAATAGCTGAAATATTATGGTTTTTAATTGTAAAATGGGGCAAACCTGACTTTCTTAACCTTATTCTACCCCATTTTACAACTTAATCGTAATATTTCAGCTATGTTCGAGAAAAAAATATATACTGAACGTTTTCGATTTATTTTTGTATGTAGAATATGGTTATGTAGTTCCGTATTTTTCAACGAGTATATATTTTTTAAGAACGGCCGTAGGTGTCTACATTCTTCAATAAAACATATTCCTGGTTTATTATTTTGTGTTTTGCATAGGTCGACCAAGGAGCGGTTGCGGGGATACCTGAGACTGAGCAACCGCCACTTGCGACGTAACTGCGAGTCTCCTCCAGATCACCGACGTGGTGACGTCATGACTCGCCTGGGGATGGACTCTGGCCGCAACAGCGAGGGAACCCTCAGTACGACGCCGGTTATCAACAACTCCTGATCACCGCTACTGGCCCGCAGCATTAGGGCCACCTGAACCGCTTAACAGACAACGCTGGACTGCGAGGTATCAAACAATAACTAAACGAATAAAGGCATAATATATTTTATATCATATTACTCTTTAACATAAAGGTTCAGTATCCTTAAAGTTTCAGATGAAAATATTCCTGTTCAAAATGTATAGGATTATCATGTTAAGTACAAAAGTAGATTAAAATAATTGTTTAGTAATATAAACCTAAAGCTGTCTCTTAACATAGGTACGATAAGAATATTAATCATTAGTATTCAGTGTTTTTTCATTAAGTTATGTACCATATGTACCATGGGCCAAATTTAGTTGCCGGTGGTGTAATGAAACATCACTATGTTTTTGGTTAGCACAATCGATATAAACGTAAAAATAATAAGTTTTCGACTAATCCTTAAAAATATGTTGGATTTTGGAAGGACAAAGGGGTCACTATGGCGAGGGCTGATATATTGACGGTGCGATGTATTTGTGTTAGGAATGTACAAGTCAAGGTCGTGCCATCTCTATCGTTGATCGATCGTGTGGAATTGTCAATTTACCCACTGTTGGCTAAAATAAGGGGTGAAATGTTTAAAGGTTTAATATAGCTCATAACGATGTACAACTTGATGATGTATTAGTTTGCGTTATTAAGGGATGAATAATTAAAAACAGTCAACTCTTAGATAGGAATTTAGAGTAATTTTATTTCAAAATATCATTGTTCTATATTCTCAGATTATTAAAATTTGAAATTAAATATCTCTTATAGGAATGCAAAATAAAAAAAATAATACAATACTAATTAATGTAATACCCCCCCCCCCTTACCCCCCGCCTTATTAAGCCTGCAGACTAGCAAAATTCCATGTTGCCTGATTTGATTTACTCTATCTACTATAAATTTCTTAGTTATTCCCTATTAAAAATATCACTAGTTAACAAGTACATACTGTACTTAGGTTTTTTGCTACAGGGAAGGTAATACAGTGTTTTTACATTGGAATGTTAATAGTTTTAAAATTTTCCAAATTTGACCAAAGAATGTTCATAAACAAGCAGACTAAAACAGTTTACCTTTTCTCCATTAGAATAACATAGGATTTTGAAATATACAGTTGTTTTGCGATTTTTTCACTAACCATTAGGTGCACACCTGAAATCGATCCCGGGTTCAGGTCTTACCATGAGACCTGCGGTAATAACCCATTCCCTAAATGGTAAGTTCGTTAAAACTTAAACCTATAAATGTTTAAAGTTAATAAACTCAGAAGAGACATTTTCTGAGAAAGCTTGATTGAAGAACTGACTATTTTCGATCGTAGGCTACTAAGATTTGCTAAATACGACTGCCGAGTATGAAGTAGTGGTTTGTTAAGTACGAAGTTATCTAAGTAGATGTTCGAATCACGTAGAAGAGGGAATAACACAGAACAAAACCGAATACACCACTGGTCAATACACATTAAAACATTCATGACTGGGTCATTGTAGTGTTGTCTGGGTCACTCAATGAGTTCATTTCTGCTGACCGAATACAGTTTAATGGTTAGTATTTCAAAATAACGTCACGCTCAGTGTATGAAAATAATGTGTCTTTGAATTAAATGACACACGAATATGTCTTCGAACTTTCAACGTTTACTAACGTTGTGTCCGGTACGAGATCCTCACTTGTGCATAGATTTGATCTGTAGTGTAAAGCGGACAAGGACGGGGTCTACGCGCGGCCACTAAATAAAATCCTGTTCATTGGCAACAGGTATACCCCATATCCAACCACGTTCGTTATTTGACAAACTCTATACTGCTAAATTTAAGCCAATTATGTAATCAAAATGACAGATTATTGGTGAAAAAATTGACAATATGGGACCCTCTGGGTTAAAATACAATCCCAATCCTCTGGGATTGGGGGAAACAAGTAATACATGATATATGATTCAGTCACGGGATATTTTATAAATAAAACAATCAATTAATTATATGTGCTCAATAAAATATTCTGCTAGTGTGAACTCTGATTACAGGCACGAGAGTGTGTGGAAGAGAGCACTGGCTGGTCCCATGACCGCCTGAGCCCGAGCATGGGACCACCCTGAGGAATGACCTGAATAGACATTGTCAATCAAACCGGTTCGATACTGTCTATAAAAAAACAAAGTGTTTAATAGTGATGTCTCAAGCTCAACATGATGTTTATGTATTTTTATATGTAATTTATATTAGCTACGCATAAAATGTGTTTATTGTTGCATAAGTGGTTTACCACTGTTTTTACAAAGTAGAACTATCATTATTGTTGATGAAGTATGTGCTACAAGAACCAAAGAAATATACAATAATTACAGATAAAATGAATTATCTAAATGTTTGAGATTAAAGAGATACGTGTATTCACTTCGTAGTCATTAATCCTGTACTAAGTTTTTAAAATATTTTATCAAGAAAATCACATTGGAACTACATTATGTATGCCACTTACTTTCATTGTAAAGTAATTTACAATTAGTTTTCACAATTTATTTTATACAATACTAGCAGAATACCCGTACTTCGCATGGGGTTGGCGTAGAAGTATAAAATGCTTATAGCAGTTATACTTGTGCTTTGCGTTTGCAATGGAAGAGGACACGGTTTGAGAACATTTGGTTCTTTTAATTTACTATGCTATAGTATAACACATACATCATAGCCATAATGCTCTACCACTACACCTAAACAAAAAAAGTAAATTATCGAATATTCGAACAATATAAAAAACTTATTTATATATTAGTAACTGTAAACATTCCTACTTTGACAGTTCTCATTTTGTATCACAGCTTTTTGTTGCTGCTTGGTTCAAATTAGCTGTTGTCATAAAAAATGCAAAAGAAATTAATGGTGCTGCACCCTGTTTGTTAAGCTGAATTACCTTATAACTTTTTTAATGATATTGAACATCATAGAACCAACTTGTGTAGTTGTAGTTGGTAAATCAGATGACTAAATTCTTTAATTCCTTTTAAATATGAATACTTATAAGGTTAACATGGGAAAGTCCACAGTCTCTGGGGTGGAGCCCGAAAGGATTTTTGAGATAAGACTGAATATGTCTATATGCTATAATCGGGAATGTGAGCTATCATCATACCAAATTTAAGCCCAATCCGACCAGTAGTTAATGCGTGATTGAACTTCAAGCAAAAAAAACAAATATACATACATTCAAACAAACAAAAAACAAACAAACAAACACTCAAACTTTCACATTTATAATATTACAATGATAACAGTCTCGTGTGGTCTCGTGGATGGGCAGCCTAATTAAAGTCACTTCGGTTTACCTGCTCTACAGAGTATATCATTATTGTAAATTTATATTATGTCCTAATGGTCTGTAAGTCATTTTTACTTTTGAGTAAAAAAAATAAATAAATTGATGGAGCTACTAACTTTCAAACTAACTTTAAGAGAATGACAAAGCAATTATCTTAAACAAACATCATACTAAAGTGTAATATCATAACATACCCTCGTAGAGAAGTAAATCGCTGGTGGAGAAACCTTTGGTGACCTGTGCCGGAAATTAAAACACCTACGGAGACCTTGATATTAAAACTTCATGAGGATATATGTTATTTTCCTTTAAAATAAAAAAAAATACATATACTAAATTCGCAATAACATACGTATCTAGCTGTCACACAACCTTTGTGAAAGGGGTGAAAATATCCAATGGAATATGCTAGAGGACTCAATATTAATAACAACGATTAACAGTGGAATCACTATTGGTATCAATATTACTAGAATACTCTATTTGTATCAATGGTTACTTTTTTGAGGGAGGAGTTTAAAATCCATTTACACACACTGAGAGGCTCAATCCCATTCTCACGGCTGCGTCTCGAAAGCCACGAATGTCCATGGCTATAAGCTGGGGAACGAAAGCCACGACAATTAGTGAAGGGTCGAAAAGGTTTAAAACCTGGGGACGTAAGCCACGACTGCGAGCCTGGTAGATTGCTGTCAGGGTGGCAGCTCACAGGGAGAACGGGAAATTTAATCTCCCTGTTATTTATGCGTCGCAAGCAAATTTGTCAGTTCAATCTGAATCCCCCGTGCTATAAAGGTTAGAAATAGACCTTTGAGCTATAGTACTGTTTGTTATTTTATTTTACTGCCTGGTTATCGTTAGTGAACTGTAGTTGTTCACTCATACAAATGCAATAATTAATTTCAAACAAATAATAACTCGGGATAAGCCATTGCCGTAGATCGTGCGGTAAAACCTAAACTCTAAACCGTCATGGTGGACAGCAAGCTCAGCTGGCGAGACCAGATCACCCGTACGGTGGACAAGGCCGCTAAAATGGTTTCTTCCTTTAGTCGGTTAATGGCCAATGTCGGAGGTTCGCGGTCCAGCCGCAGAAGGCTGATGATGTCTGCGGTCCAGTCCGTGCTCCTGTACGGTGCGGATGCTGGAGTCATCCCCGTCAAACTTTTGGCGGCGGAGAGGAAGGCAATTTATCAGCGCCTTGGGAGGACCAGGCAAGAATTGAGGAACGCACCCGGACCTTCCAGCTGTGTCAGGAGAGCTGGAAACAGGAGACAAGGGGGCTCTGGACCAGGCGACTGATACAACAGGTCCAACCTTGGGTTAATCGGCGGTGCGGAGAGGTGAACTTCTACCTCACCCAATTTCTGACGGGTCACGGCTTTTTCTCATTCATTCCCGACTTTTTTTAACTGCCAGCATTGGGAAAGGCCCCGCCTAGATGCTCAACAGTTCGTAGGACTGCTGTCGGTGGACACGGTCATACCTCATACCGATGATGATGGAGGGTGAGGACAATTGGACCTGTGTGTCACTTTACATCCAGGGTGTTCTCCGCGCCAAGAAGCTTGACCTCAACCGGGATGCGGTGTAGGTAAAAAAATAAATAATGCCAGAAACGGTGCGAGCCCTGTGGGCTTAGGTCACATGTTGGCCTGACTTGAAGTAATGTGACAAACAATTCCAGTTCTGTGTCCAACAGAGTAGAGGGGGTTTTTTAGTGAGTAGTCTGTGATCTCAGGAGTCTCACACTACAGGCTGGCTACCCTTGTGCGTAAAAGCATTTTCCCTCCTCACCCTAAAAAAAAATAAAAAAAATAAAAAAGAGCCCTAAACAGTTGCAGGCTCTCTTCAAATTTCCAGTAAATGGTTTTATTAAAACTTGATGTCATGCATATACATTTCTCTACAAAAACATTGAAAAATGTTGCAATTCACTTCAACAGCTTATAGGTTGACATAATAAACAAAAAACATGAACTACTATTATACAGCAATTGCATGATTTTTACATTTTTAGTAGGTACGCTTTAAGAAGAAATGAACGGGATTGCACATATCAACAACTTCTAATCTTTTTTCTTGAGCATCCAGTCCCAAAAATAACTCCGCACAATCTTCTCTGGCCTTCAGCTTTGAATGTTTAGGCAAAACTGATGCAGTGATGCGAAATCCTAAATGTGCCGAAAAGTAAGGGTGACGCAGCATTCTTATGACTAATTCCATGATACCTCCCTCCATGCGTTCCATTTGTAATCGGGTGTCAACAACCCTAAACTATGATGTTACCAACCCCCGTAAAAATATTACACGCACTGGTATACTGTATAGTACTGGTTCTTTAAAGTAAAATTAATGCATAAATTTATGGTTCAACCCAAACTATGTTAACCACATTCGCCAGATCGTGTATGCAGATGCTTAAGAACGGCTGGTACTGAATTTGCCTTCTTCATCGAAAGAATAATTTTCCGATACTTAACTTGATTTCTGATCAGAATTTACAAAAAATCGGTTTTTATTTTTTTTAATTATTAATGTGCACATTTGTATAACCATGCTATAGTGATACATAGTGAGCAATATAGCAACATAACTGTGTGTAGGATGTGACAATCAAACATGCAAAAATATTGACGGGGTTTTATTGGTTACCTAATACTTATGAATAAATGTAATTGTTTGGATTTTTGAAATAAAATACCAATAATAGTCGCAGTTATTGTTTAACAAAAGTAGTGATAGAAATATACCACATCACTTATTGAATTCAACATTACAACATGTAAAACTAAACGTGTATTGGACTTCCGTGCTGACGTAAAACCTTGTATAACTTAAGTTTTAAGTTTAACTTTTATCGTTAAATAATCATATCTTCCATAATGCTCAATACAATAAGGGGTTTTCGTCATAATAAAGCAAAAACACCCATATTTATACATCATGCGTTGCGGGTCTAAAGTAACATTTTTATTCCATAGCGATTAAAAATAATTTGTTGCAAAAAGTTGTGAATTTGGATTGTGACAACGTATAAAATCAAAATTATTTATCGATTGATTAATTAGGTAAATTAGCCTATTGTTGCATTGTTGACAGTAGCTAGACACATCGATGGTACTGTATAATGTACTAGCAGAGTACCCGTCCTTCGTACGGGGTTGGAATATAAGTATAAAATATTTATTGCAGTTATGCTCATAAGCTTCTGTTTGCAAGAGGGGAAGGACACAGTTTGACAACATTTGCTTCTTTAAACTTAAGGTATACTATAGTATTACACATCTACCTTAGCCATAATGTTCTACAACTAAAAATATATTACAAAAAAATCGCAAAATATCACAAATTATTCATGAAATTAAAAACATATACCACACTGTAATCAATCCTTCTTTGACAGTTCTCATTGCGTATCGCAGTTTTTTGTTTTAAATTACGAGTATACAGTATTAGCTGTTTTCATAAATGCAAAAAAAAAATTGTGCTGCACTCTGTTGGTAAATCTTATAACTTTTTAATACTTTTGCAAATCACAGAACAAACCTTTTTATTTGAAACAGCTTACTAAATTATTTTATTCCCTTTAAATATGAATACTCGTAAGGTTAACATAGGAAACTACACACCCACTGGGGTGGAGCCCGAAATGATTTTTGAGATAAGAATATGCCTATATGTTAATCAGGAATGTAAGCTATAATTATGCAAAATTTCAGCCCAATCCGTCCAGTAGTTAATGCGTGATTGAACTTCGAGCAAACAAACAAACACACAAACTTTCATATTTATAATATTAGTTAGATTGTAAACATCACAATCTTAATACAAGAAATGATTTAACCAACTTTCTATACAGTAAATTATTTACGTTAGCAGTATTGAAAACAAGTGGGAAGTACAATAAGGATTTTCGTCAATATTCGTCAGCCTATGGTCAATCATGTAAATTAGTCGTACTCATAAGCACGTAAAAACCCCCCTACGCTTTTGATCTGATTGGAT